TTCTTTTTTTTTTTTTTTCCTTTTTCCACGGTACTGGTGAGTTCGGAGCGGCCACACTCTTTGCTCTTGAATGTAATGTAAAATAAAGTTGTCCTCCGAAGAGGGGGGGTGGTGGTGAGCAATAAAAAAATTAAAAAAAAAGAGAAAACCAGATCAAGAATGGCATCTCCCCTGGTAGGGGTGTTAACAAACTGTAATATCATTATTATTTTTTTTAGAATGTCTGATATTTCCACTTTACACATTCTATAACGTGGGGTACTTATTTCATTTTAGGGTAATTATAGTGGCACATAGAGTGGTACCTGAGAACTCGAACTTAATCCGTTCAGAACTCTGGATTGAATTCTAAAAAGTTCGAGTTATGATCGAATTGTCCCCATAAGAAATAATGGAAAACCAATTAATTGGTTCCCGGCCCCAAAAAATTACACCTAAATATGTCTTTTTAGCATTTAAACACAAAATGAACCAGATAGAACAAGAAGAGCATATACTGTACTAAACACATTTATCAAAACAGTAATTTGTAAAGTAAGGAAATAAATGTATCCAAACGATGTGTAAAGTAAAAAAAAAAAAACCAATGTGTTCTGCCCCGATCATCCGCTCCTTTCGTGTGCCACGGCCCCTCGTTAACCCCGTGTGGAATCCCTGTTTCTGGTTGTTGTCATTATTCCTCTGTATTTAGTCCGCGTTTCAGTTTGTTTACCCAGTCCGGTTATTGTATTGTCCGTCTGCGTTTTGCCTGCCTTACCTGTAATTAAACCCAGTATTCTCCGATACCCTGATGTCTGCGCCTTTGTCTCTGTTCCGTCCCCGCTCAGCACGACAATATCATTATAATTAAATGTATTAATGGTTTATTATTAATATTAAAATAATAAGAAATCTTTATTTTTAAATGTATTTTATTACATAATAATAATTACTGTCTATCATTGTCTAAATGTATTTTTACTTTCTAAATATATGTATTCAGCAAGTGTAAACATGCATGATGCTATCACAGCGAATGCGAGGCTGAGACTGAAGTGTTACCCTTTGTTTCCGCTGAGAGACGTGCGTCACTCATTTCCCCACGCGTACAAGTTATCTTAGGTCGCCGTTCACAGTTTGACTTCTGAGATTCAGATCGAACTGGTTGGTTCTACTTTTAAGAAATTCGAGTTCTAATGAGTTCAAGAACTGAGGTACCACTGTATAAATAATGTATCTTTTTGCACTAAATTTTTCAAATCACTAATTATTGTTTTTTATTGCAAATGTAAGCAATACATTAATGACTGTCCATCTGTTAATAGGTAGAACAGATAATCTAGCGTGGTTAATTGTTCAGCTCACCATCATTAGACCAGATTAGGAAAATTGACTATGCAACTTTAATTGTGTCTCTCTGAACGATAGAAAAGCAACATGCATATCTGTAAAATTATATGCAATGAAAGGTAAATCTATATCCAAAAGATGAATGCAAGATGGTAACAGCTGGTTCCTCTATACAAGGTATATGTTTGTAATGGTGTCATGCGATGATGATGATGATCACGTAACAACTGAAAACTTTTCCTGAATTGGTTGAACAAAAAAATCTTTGCTTCAATTGAGTCTTTGAAATTTAGTTTGAAGTCTTGGAGAAGTCATGAAAAAAGTCATGGAAATTTGGTAATCGAAAAGTGTATGAACCCTGCATTTATCACTTTAGTATTTTTATATAAAGTTTGTTTTTCACCAAGTTAGCTAACTGGTTAAAAATATCAATTACGTTTTTAGTTCAAGATCTAGCCACAAATCTGAGATCTACTGAGACAGATAATTGACAAAGAAGTGAGATATACAGACAGTACTGAAATATCATGCAGGTTGAAATTGCTTTGATTCACATTGATCTGTTTTTGTTGTAATACTGTTACAGACACTGATCATGCAGGCATCAGGTGATAAGCACTTAATGGTTTGTCATAACAATAGTGTAGTAGTGCTACACTGTAACTGAGCATTCTTTGCCTCAGCTTAGCCACACTTATGCCTAGTCGAATCACCAACACCATGCATGTGTGTAATGTACATTGCTATGGACAAAAGCATCTGCTAAATGTCAATGTAAATGTAGTGCTGTATCATGATTCTTACAGTACCTCTGAAATGTGCATTGTGGATACATTTGCAAATGGGTATGATAAAATTTTGCCATGTCACCCACCGGTAATTTAGAACAAAAGATGATACGTTTGCTGGTAAACTACTTTATCTGCTCATAAAATCATACAAATTTAGACTGACTGGCTGATTGGAAGAACTCGGCCATAGCCAATTAATTAGTCACTAGCCAATTAATTGGTGCATCCCTTAAAATAACAAACATTATAGGCATATTATCATATAAAGTATAGTATGTTAGGATGTTGAAGTATACTTACACGTTTACATGCTGTTTATGCATGCTCTATGAATGAATTATGAAGGTGCAGATATTGTGAAACATTACCAGATTGTGTAACACCTAAACATGGCCTATACCTTGTTTTAGATGCACATGGAGGAACCTTGCTTTGACTTTTTGAGAACCAAGGAGACATTAGGGTAAGTCAGGCATTCCACCTGCTGGATTTTGCAGTTTAAATAATAATGAATTGTTTCTTCTTTTGAACGAAGTTTGTTTTGAACATTTTGCCCTAATCATGGTTTTTGTCCGCTCTCAGGTATCATGTATACCCCACCTGTAGGAATACCTCTGGTATTTTGGGTTTTTCTATCACGGTGGAGACCCAGGCCACAAAGTTCAAGTGAGAATTTATTAATTGTCAGTTACAGGATATGTGCCCTTGTATAACTCTATGTAACTTTAATATACACAGCAACATAATATACACTCCTGAGATGGAGTGAATCACTCACTGCTGCAGATGACCTGATTACAGTTTTAAGTTGATCAGGAGCTTTGCAACTACATTTATTAAATGGGCACTAATGTTGAGGAAACTGCAAGGTTAATGGTGTGTACTGTTGTGCTTTATTTTTTTAAAACCACATCCATGTTTATGATAGTGCTGCCTTGCAATAGCTTGTTACTTTTCACCTTATAGCACAGAACTTGTGGAGATGAAAATTGAAGACTTCCTGGCAAACTTTGGAGAAAAGATGGCGAGTTTGACTGACGAAGCTTTCAAAACTCAGGTGACGGCTCTGATTAAGCTCAAGGAGTGTGAGGACACACATCTTGGAGAGGAGGTGGACAGAAACTGGTTTGAGGTGCTCACCCAGCAATACGTATTTGACAGGCTCAACAAAGAGGTGAGATTGAAACTCAGATGTTGAATACATTTCACATGTATGTATTAATGGACATTAGAGTAATTTTCTTTTTCCCCCCACTATAGATCGAAGCACTTAAGCTGATTACCAAGTCAGAGCTGGTCTCCTCCTTTATGGAGTTCAGAGGTCAAAGCAGCAAGAAGCTTAGTATTCATGTAAAGTCACAAACTTCCTTTCCCTTCTTATCTCTAAGAATGAATTTTAAAAGATATCAGGAACATAATAATGTATGTGTTGGTGATTCTGGGTCTCAGGTGACTTAAGGATGCTATAACACCGGTTACCGATTTTGTTATTCTTTAAAAGGTGGTTGGTTTCGGAGAAGCAGAGCACGACCCTCCTGCGGAGGATGATGGTGGTGAAGCTCAACTGGCCCAGACTGACAGTGATGGGGAGCACCGGAGTTCCCTGTACAGCGAGGTGTCAAAGCTCACGTTCCTGCCGGCATCAGCCCTGCTGGCCTCCGCTACGGCCATCACAGATATCCATGCTTTCAGATCCTCGCTGAAACTGTACCCTTACCACAAGATCCTCAAATAACATGATCTGCAGATTGACAGCTTATTGAGAGAATTAATTGACCTGTTGCTTCCTTGTCTGCTACCATAGTAAGGGAAAGCATAAAATCTTCTCCTCACTGTCTCTCTATAAAATAAATGATCAGTGCAAAGTTCATATTCATTCAGTGCATCTTCAGTCATTTGAATTTAACCCAACCCCACAGTCTCAACTGAGTCTGCAGTGATTTTTATACTGATAAGACAACTGTAGGATTCCAGTTGCTGTATTCCAGAGAAAACAACTGTCTAAGCTTTCTTACTATCCAATGGTTTTCACTGTTGCTTCTTGTCAAATTTTAACTTTGAATTTGTCATGGACAGTCAAATAAGCCAACTCTGCTAATTTGTGAATGACTGCAGTAAAGAAACTTTGGTGGAGTATATAATGCTTTCAGTGTTACTGAATTTCATATACTACTTTGTTTGAGAACTTGAAATGCTTAATTAAAGGTGCTCTTCATTTAGCTTTGTTTTTTATCCTACTTATATGTAATTAAATATATGACTAACTAGTACTAGGTGCATAGTCTGCGTGGTTATGTTGGACGTAGAGCTGGGCGATATGTCCTAAAAATAAAATCCGATTTTCGATTTCAATCGATAATAATAATAATAGATTTAATTTATAACGCACTATACATTTAAAATAAATCTCAAAGTGCCACAAAATGAGTCTTCCTAAAAAAGTGAAAAAAAAACATATTAAAACAACAATTAAAACAAGCAAGTCAATCAATAATTAAGAAACCTACAAAATTAATTAAAATCCATAGTTATAAGAAACACCTTAGTGGTGCAGCTTGGACACATCCTCAGTGATGAACCCAGGGTCACAGGGTGTTTCGGGTCTTAGATCATCAGACACCCTCACCTGAGCGACCCAGCCGGGGATGATCAGACCCCGACTTGTGTCCAAGCAGCGCACTAAGCCATACGTCGCCCCTTTTGATCCACAGCCACCTAGAGGCTTTCTCCGCTGCCTCGCAGATGTTTCTGGTGGCTTTCCTTTCTTGAGAACCTCTGATTCCAAGCAACCTGAGTGATCGGTGCAGGCTCTGTCCTGGGAATCCTCTGCAGCCAACCTCGATTGGCTCACAGCGGGCCCTCCACCCCTTCCGCCTGCCTTTAAAGCTCAAAAGCTTCCTCAATCCTGTCTTCCCAGGGGACTGTGAGTTCCAGTAGCACCACTTGCTTTGTACTCTCTGATGTTAGGACCATGTCTGGCCTGAGTGTTGTGCTGATGATGTGGTCTGGAAACTTCAGTTGCCTCCCCAGGTCCGCCTTCAGCTGCCAGTCACCTGCTGAGGATAGCAGACCAGCTGGGGCCTTTGACTGTGACTGAGGCTTCTCCCCGGCCCTG